TTAGTCACATAACATATGACATTTGATCAATAGGGAGTGTTCGCGATTGTCGTCGTCAATTTTCGCTCAGACATATGGGACGCCAAATACTCTTCTAATAATGTCTATAGCTGAGAGTATTCGAGCACGAGCTCACGTAGCAATCGAAAATATACGACGATTCTCGGCAACGCTCGTTCATCAAGTGAAGTCATAATCGCTTTTATTCATGGTTTGACGCTTTTTTGCGCTTGATTAGCAGTCTATGTATTATAAGGTCTATGCCTAATCACAAATCATTTAAAAAGTTGTTCTGTTAATTTCTTCCATAAAAGTAAAACAGGTAGAATGTACCGCCCGAACAGGGACTTGAACCCTGGACCCTTGGATTAAAAGTCCAATGCTCTACCGACTGAGCTATCCGGGCTCTGTGTTGTGTATTCGGTTGACCAGCAGCCATCCTTGGTACACTCGTTGGTCTTTATCAGCCAAAAGTGATATTGTGCCTTGTACTGAACATTATGTTCACTTTATCAGCCAAAAGTGTTACCTACCTTTAACTTACTGACCAATCGACAAACCATTTAAGCAGTTCTTGATGTGTTTGTTCGCAATGATAAGACAACTTTAGCATATCAAAGGCAGATAAAGTTTAAATCGATTATCAATTAGATAAGACTATTTTTTATTGATAACCGAGCCACTGGTCATTGGCTTTTAGCAACGATCGTCCTTCTGCAATGCGTTGCGCCAACGCCTTATCACAATTCAACACGCACACAAATCTGATATTGTAAATATATTGTTTATACATGCTTTGCTGGTTTTGCATGCCTCGGCCATATAGCGGTTACCAATGTCGCCATTATCGTTTGTTTATTGTACAAAGTTTTCTCGAAAGTTTTTGTTCGTGAACCATATGTAAATTTGCGGTTAATTTTATGCAGATTCAGAAGTACAAATATAATTCAAAAAGTTATTAAAAAACACTTTGTATACTTTTCTTCATTGTCTTTTCACTTGTAGTGTTTTTTCTTTTTTTTGCTAAATTGAGAAACACTGTAGTATATTTACATATGTAAGAGTATAGTACATAGTACGAAAAGTATATTTACATATTTACGGAATTACAATTAGCTTTTATAGAATAAATATTGAAAAATGAATAATTATTTTTGAAATTTTATTATCTGCAATTTTTTTTTTATTTATCTGTTATTATGTCACAACGTTTCAGGTCATTCTGAATCGAATGAGACCAAATTTGGAAAAACTATGTGTATGTATGTATGCTTATATTTGAACTTTTGTCAACATTTCTTCAGAAACAGATGGACCGATTTTAAAAATTTAAAAGCCATTCGATGTACCTCGATAAGGTCTGTTTTGTCACCACAATCAGCCAAGCCGTTTCTTTGATACTGGCAGAAAAGTGTAAAGTTTTTCTGCCACGTTTTAAGCCATAATGTTGAATCGACTTTCAACAACAATTCAAAACCCGTTCGATATTGGTTGGGAATCGCGAAGATTAGTTTTTAAACATCGGGCAGGCCGTTTCTTTGTAATTAATTGTCGAAAAAACTAAAGTTTAATTATTTTAAAACTTCTGATTTTGATCAGTATCTATGCCGAAGCATCTGTACGTTCAGTGGTGTTTTGTTGGTAGCTACTGGTTACAGTTGACGTCTACACCCAAAATACATTTTTAAAACCCGAAATCGTTAAAATGAGTTATGTGAAATGAAATGTGTCAAACAAATTTATTTAATTTATACAATTATTAGTATCATAAGTATGTTTTCAAAGGTATCAATTCCAATATTTATTTATTTTTCAAATAAACCGTTCAGCATTTTATCTAAATAACTAAATATCAATTCTCATTGATTCAAATAATATCTATACGTTTTATACGTTTAAATAATTATATATATACGTATCGGAAAGTTCATGCAACTTACTTAATGGCAAAATGCTACTTACAACTAGTTAGAGCAGAAATTACTTATATCTCTATTAGTGTATCAATAAGCAAAAAGAGATAATACAGAAGACTACAATATAAAGGTGATATAATTATTCCTATAATTTTACAATATTTAATTTGAAAAATATATTATTTAAAATCACCTATAATTTCATTATTACAAATAAGATTAATTTATAATTTCTGTATGCAAAACATAAATAAGTATCTATCAAATTGATCCAAATATTAGAAGCCTGACATTTCATTTAAAAAGTAATTTTCAATGAATGACAATCTAAAAAGTACTTTTTGTATCCATAGATAAACAAGTATAAAGTATAAGTTTGCATCTTATATTATTATATTTCATTCGACATCATCAATTTTTTATTTTTTTATTGCTATAATTATAGGATAATTCTAATAATCGAAATATTCCTGAAGGGTTTGTTTTATGCGAATTGCATTTAAATTGCTTCTTTCCGCAGGATTTTCCTTTGCGACAAAGTTTATAGTTCAGACTGAAGTACTATTTCTAATTATATATTCTCCAAGGTGCCGGTCGTAAAAGTGTAGTTTCAGGACATATAAAAGCAGATCATCATCTCATGCAACCCTGCAAAACAGTTTTATGTAATTGAATTTGTTTTTATGTGAAATTTTGACCTCACAATGTACTGATAGCAAATATTCGGAGATTGTGAAATTTTAGAACGTAAATGATAATAATTGACTCACGATGTAAAATAACTAATAACTTAAATAATTAATAATTTTTAAATAGCTTAAAATCTCTTGAGGATGTAGAGGCTGCACTACATATTAAAAATAGCAATAGCAATCTATCAAATGAGATTTAGCTACAATAAGTTATCTTTGATTAACTATAAATTTTCTTTGTAAAAATAATTAGTATAACATTTTAAATGAATTTTTTTGTTTTTTCTCAAATATATGAATGAAACATTGAATTTCATTAACTTTAATTATTAACATATATGAACACTAGTCAAAAAGGTGACCTAGAGTTCAAAGAGAACTTGACTGCATCTTGACCAAAAATTTTCTAAAAAAAAATATACGTTTCTAATAAAAATATTTTGTGTTCAGTTGGCTATTGTCAACTATATAATAAATAAATCGACAATAATAGAGCAGTATTGGTAAATAACCTAAATAAATCGTTTATTATTGTTGAACAAGACAAATTTGTTTTTGGAATGATGTTTACAGCATCTCGAGTAGAGATTCTCGGCCAAAAATTATCTAATTTAAAATATACGTTTCAAAGAAAAATATTTTGATTTCAGTTTACAATAGTCAATAGTATAATAAATAGAACAACAATAAAATAGCAATATCAATAAATAACTTAAATCATTTATACTTCTAAAACATCCAAATGTTTTTGGAATGAACTTTGTTGCATCTCGACCAAAAAAAAAATTGAATATAAAACAGATGTTTCAAAAAAAATCTGTGTATGAATATATGTTTTATTACGTATGTAGTTATAGACATAAATTATAAAATAATTTTATGAAAAATTTAATACATAGTTTGAATTCTTTAATAAGAAATTATTTGGCCAATTCTCCGATGAAATAGAAATGTAACATTTCTATTAATAATAGTGTTGTTATGGTCCAATTTTTATATAAATTGATAGTAAAAACTATCAGTATGTATTTGCTATGAAGTCAGGTAATTTGAATATAAAACCTAACCTAGAAAACGCACAAACGCTTAAAATGGATTTTATCAAAACCGCATCTTTCTGATGTGTCGTGATAACACATACGTGAAGTTAGGTTTTATGTGTGAAACGCTTGATCGCACAGGAAATACATAGCATTTTTAGTGTTTTTAGTATCAATTTATATGAAAAATGGACCGTAACATAGCGTTGTTATAACAACGGTCTATTTTATCGGAGAATTGGCTCCTAATATATCAGAAAGTTCCGTTTCCGTACGTACTAAACTTTCCGTTTGGTAAGTAATTACGTTTCAAAGGTTTTTGAACATTTTGGAATACCTTAGAAAAAATGGTTGTATGTGTGTGTGTGCGGATACAAATTTTCCTCGACGATTTCGCGAACACGGATCAACCGATTTGCATAATTCAAATAACATTCGATTCCTATTGATAAGGAGACGTGCTGATTAGTTTTTGGCAAAATCAGGTCTAGCCGTTTTGGAGATACGGGGTGGCAAAAATTGTATTTCAGTTTTTGGGATAACGGAGCGTCCGATTTAAATAATAAGTAAATAATTTAAATAATAAGTAAAAAGCATTTTACTTGTATTGGCGCAATGAACAACTGGTTTTTGTCATGGCAGGCCCAGCGTCTCCGGAAATCCAATAAAAATGTAAAAAATAATGCCATTTGGCGGTCAAAAATGAACATTAGACATATGTACATCGTATTATCAGATATTTTAAAAAGATTATAATACTAACAATAAGTACAAATTTTGTGCACATTTATATGGGTTCCATATCAATGTATACATGTTAGGCGGCTACGCGGCGCTTACGCGCTTTGATCCTACGCGTCTCCAAATCAGCTATGCAGCGCAATTGCTTCAAAAAATGTTGAAAATTTTCAAAAGAAAAAACAAAATACAAAAAATTTTTTCAAAAAAGTCAATTTTTTTCAAAAATTTCAAAATTTCTCAAAAATCTAAATTATTCAAAGTCTTGCAAAGTTTTTTTTAATAATTTAGTTTTCTGAACGCTGGTTAGTTCCAGCAATTTGCCTTAAGCACGATACCATACACCACTAGTTCGCTTTCATTTATCACAAATAGTATTAATTAGTATAATGTACTTTATATCAATTTTATGCTCATTAAATAATATTTTAGAGTTTTAGTTAGTAAAATAATTCTTTCTCTGCAAAAACTTTGGCGTGGTCGCACCACTGCTACAAGCCATGAGATAGTTGCATGCAAGCATGCAAATTTCTATGTAGTTGTGTCTCCGTTGCTGAGCATTATTTTTGTTTTCATTATGGAATATAAAACAGTCCTCGTTCTCTTGTTTTCAGAACATCAGCAAAATCATTCTCGGATCGAGAACAAAACGGTGTCAACGAATTTTCTACATAGAAGACACAACAAACCTCTATGTCACACTTGGAACAATTATAGAATATTTTTATTATTCGCTGTACAACTCTTTGGACATTATATTTTTATATATTGTTGTCGTAAAGCTGCTGTGATGAAGAAAACGGCGCCTTCGCCGACGTTCGACGCGTGGTGAAGAGAAAATTAAATCAAGTGCAAATATTCCTAAAGTGTAAAAGATAAGAAGTTTCGGTCTTTGCAAAGTTTTTGTGATACTGTGATTGGGATATCGGATACCGGAGAAATGACGTCTAGGTCAAAAGAGAAAGTGGCTGCCGCCTTCCGAAAACTGTTCAAGTCTAGCGAGAAAATCGGAGATAAAAATGATGGGGCTGGACCCAGCGGATCACCAGGAAGAAGGTATGTCGATTTTAATTTTTCCCTTTTCGAAATGAAAAATGTACAATAATTTAATTAGAAATTCGTTTTTCTATATATATTATTTATATATCAAAAGATATTATTGTACAATGCAGTAAAATAATAGTGCTAATTTGGTATCATTCATTTAGAGCTATTAATCGCTGTATATTTATGTAGACTTCATAAACTACATTAGACACATTGTTACTCTTATCTTTTATTTTGTCTTTGAGAAATACTATTCAAATCATAAATATTTAGTTGTTGGCACGCTAGTAGTCATTGATTAAAAATTTATATAAAGAAAATAGGTTGCAACAGTATTTGTCTATTCCGAATTATCATTACAAAACCAGAAATTTGACTATCAAAGGACCAAATTTTCACATGGGCTATGGTAACTTTGTTAGATGATTTAGTTAACATATTAAAGAATGTTCAAATATAATTTTTTGCCAACATTTCTGAAAATCACCATTTTTTATGTAAATATGTAATTATGTAAAACTTTTGTTTCTTTAACAATTCAAGAAATGTTTGATTAACATGGCGATTAACGTGTTAATTACGAAAATTTAGTGACTGCCAATTTAACAGTACCATTTCTACGATACTTCTGAATATCATAGTTTTGATATCAAACCACATTTTTCTAATAAACTGGTTGTAAATAATATTTAATGCAAACTTTTATCTAAACGTAATCATTTCCCTATTTTCTCGTTTAGCAATACCTTGGATTATTTTTTATCCATTTCATATTTAAGCTATAGTTTATTTCTCTTTTTACTGCACTTATTTCAACTAATTGACTTCCCGTAGGATAAGTTATAGTAATCGCAAAAAAATGAAAATTTTTGTATATTTTTACGTTTTAGAGGATTCTGAACATTTTGGCATACCTTAGAAAAAAAAATATGTATGTGTGTGTGTATGTATGTGTGTGCGGATACAAATTTTTGTCGACGATTTCGGGAACACGGTTCAACCGATCTCAATTATTCAAAAAACATTCAATTCCTATTGATAAGAAGACGTGCTGATTAGTTTTTGACAAAGGCTAGCCGTTTCGAAAATACAGGGCAAAAAGAGCCAAAAATGGTAATTCAGTTTTTGAGAGAACGAAGCGTCCGATTTTAATAATTCAAAAAACATTTTATTTGTATTGATGAAATTTTTGGTACGAGAAGGTCCAACAATTTAAAACAATCATCAATTTGTGTCTTTGTCTATTGATATTGAACCGTCTACTATAATGTTTTAGAGCCACCACATGAACCATGTGTTATTTATTCATCAAAGAAAGTTTTTGATCGAAGTTGTTGTATTATAGCCTCATAATATCTTGATTATCACTTGTTATTTGTTATCTCTCAACTGCAACAAACTACAATATATCCCACAAATAGTTACACGAACAAAAAATGATCTCTTTAATGAGCATTTTTTATTACACCACGTGCGTCGCTTTAATTAACTTTATAAAGTGCAGTGACATGTTGCTCTCGTGTTGCTTTTATTAGCCGATGTTTTGTCGTAAAACTGAGCCTTATATAAACAAGATTACGTCTTTATTAACCACTATTTATGACACAATTCTAAATATATTTTGCATGATTATAGATTTATTTATTCTTCTTTTATGTAATTATCATGAAAGTCGATATAAACTTTAGTAATACTAAATGGCATTTGTCTGTCGATATGGCTTGAGTACTTGCAGAGAATGGTGTAATTTCAAGATTTTATAGACAAAGTTTTCCTAATGATAGGGTTGTGTTCAGATCCTACGTTTTATTAGGATTCTCCGAACGTCTATAATATGCAATTTCCTACATAGATAAAGCTTAATTATTTCATTAGTAATAATCTTTTTTATTTTGTAAGGAACTCGAAAACGCTATTAGGAAAATACCATTCGACCCTTTTAGTTTTCTTTGTGATATGTATTCTTTATCTTGCACATTAGTTTTATTTTCAAAGTTTTGTACCTTCACAATTTCTGCAATATGTAATTCATAATCTCCAAACTAAAGAAGTGCATTCGAATGTCTATGAAAGATGAAAAAGTTTTTTCATTAGATAATGTACAATATATGTCCTTTTGGTAATCTATAAAAATGTTTTTTTTTTTTAATATGTAAAACGTTTTACGTATTTAAAAAAACATTTTCATAGATTACCAAAAGAACATATATCAACCTTTTCTAATCTCTACTTGCAGAATTAGTACGTATTTTGGCGCCACCTGAGTGGAAAGGGTTAAACATCTTTTTTTTAAATTTTAATATTGAATAAATAATAATAGAAATACTCCAGTAAAATTGCACGACATATTTTAATAAAGGAGGTATACATTAATTTCACCTGATAAGCACTACAAATTAATAATAATTAATAATAGTTCATTATTTCAATATACTTAAATTCATAGTAAACAAATAATGGTGGTGGTGGTATAAGTGGTTTCCAAACTGTAAGACTTTCACAAGAGAGCCATGCAGTTGTTTCCAAATATTATTTGCATTTGTATTAGAAAAATGAAAGGTCAAAAAACAGGGTGCGCAGGTAACAAAAATTTGAAAGCCACTGACTTAGATTGATACAAACATTTTTTTTAAATTAAACAGCAATCAAAAAATACAAAAAAAACATAAATTTTAAAATTGAAAGTATCATCATAATTTATTTTGGATTTTATACCTGAAGTCCTTGCTAAAGCTCAAAATGTTAATAGTATATTCTGTAACACTTTGAGAGTAAAAAGTCGAATTCGTTATTTGGAACTATTTGATTTTATTGATTATTGGATTTGTTTTTGTGGACAATAATAAAAATTTAACCGATAGCTATTATTACTTGGAAAATATTTTTTTATTATTTTCATATAATTACAAACTGTCTGGTAAGGCATTCAGTAACTTTGGTGACAAATTTGTAAATATAAGATTTTAAAATGTTGCCCAGTGGTAGTCATTTTAGCTTTGAAAATGGATGATATAAAATTATAGAACAGTAATAATAAATTCTGTGTTAGATGTTATTTTCTAAACCTAGAGAGTTAATTCTTTAAAGTCTTTTGGGTATATTTCATGTGAAAAGTCTTTATCTTTTAGGTTCGGATGATCTTCTTGTCTGGTGTTGTACTTAGATGCATGTTATCTAATTTCTTCTGCTACTGTGTACATATTGGAGTCCTGGTGGATCAGCCAATTTGGGACATACTTGGGCGCCCTTAGTATTTTTTTTAATAATTTCACTCTGTGGCCTTTGCAAAATGTTGATATTGGTTTGGCTAGAATTAAAAAATATATTTATATATTTTTATTATTACGCTACATTCATAAAATATTACTGTTGATGTGATCAAATGTTATTAAAATGAACCATTGTGAGACGTAATTAGATTAGTGCCATACAATATGTACAGTCGCGTATTTTCAATTTCTAGTTCATCGTATTACCTGTAAGTAGGTTAATAAAACCTTCATTACAAAATAATCTGGAGTGTTATTTTTGTACCAACAAGCAATCTTTACGTAACACCATCGGTCGATATTTTGCTTTAGCTCTTCTGTAGACACGTAAAAGGATGTGCTCTGAGTTTATCGTAAATGCGATTATCACCCGGCTTCTGAAGTAGAACCTCCTGACATTTACAGGAAAAATCATAAAAGATGGAAATATTTGAATTAGTGAAGAAAATTATAAGAATTCTTTCGTAACATTCTCAGACTCGTTCAAGTTTCGTATAATAATGTTGGTTTTAGACGTATTCCTCGGTAGTATAGTGGTCAGTATCCCCGCCTGTCACGCGGGAGACCGGGGTTCGATTCCCCGCCGGGGAGGAATTTTTTTGTATTCCCTTCACAATATAGAACTGAACATTTAATTAATTTTGGGTTATCGATGACATTTTATTAGATTTTCTGCGCATGTTTAGAATTGACTATCGGATTGATTCTGCCGCATAACAGAAAAATGTTACGGCAAGGTCATGTTATGAAGAACTTCCATACTAATATTGACAAAAGCCATGCGATTGGTGTGCAGTCGGGCTAATTTCTCAAGTTATCTGATAGAAAACATAATCTTATCTGATAGAAAACATAACCTGGAAGGCGCACAAATGTCAAAAAAACGATGTTAGGTAACAGTGTGTTTCTGATACTACTGCATAACGTACGAGTGACGTTGCAGTTTATGTGTAAAACGCCTGAATGCATAGCAAACACATCATATTCGACAGTATTCAGTATGATTTATTAGCATAATGTATGGAAGTCGGAGTGTAACATGGCCTTGACATATCATTTTTCTGTTATGCGGCAGAATCGGTCCATAAATTTCGATTTACTGCCAGGAATAAGCTTTTCTTTTATAAAAATCACGAGCTTTTGAAAGCAACAGTTTTCTGGTAGAAACAAGTATAACATATTTCATTTTTCTAATTTGTGTTATTATGGGGCTGATTCTGCGGTAAAATAGACCGTAACATAGTGTTGTTATGACGTTATGTTATGCTTCTTTCTTGGTACTAAAAACCAAAGTTATCAAAGTTGCCATTTAATATGTCCTCGGTAGTATAGTGGTCAGTATCCCCGCCTGTCACGCGGGAGACCGGGGTTCGATTCCCCGCCGGGGAGGATATTTTTTTTAAGTTTCACTAATCTGGAGAAAATGTTCATTTTATATCTACTAGGTTGATTTACTTCCCGAAAGTGAAGTTTTTGTTTTCGTCAGAAAATCCGACTTACTAATTTTATGTTTTCTTCAAGTCATTCTGAATCGTTATCCCAAATTTCCTTGACGTTTCCTCAAAAACGACTGCACAAATTCCAAAAAAAGCGTCATTTGATAAATTCGATAAGTGCACAAATGTGTTCGTTTTTTGTTCAATAATGTATATTATTTAAACCATTTGCTGAAAATAACTTAATGGACAAATTTGTACAAAATTGAATAAACTGCAATGGTTTCTAGCATTATAAAACCGT